TTGAAGACCATCGGCATTGACAAAATCACCACCAGTCAATTGCAAAAGGCAACTTTACTTGGAACAGCTTATATCCTGCAATGATGCCTTTAACCACAACAACATCCGCCTATCCCAGGTCCTTGGGAAGGACACGATAGGTGGATAAAAATGCCCAATCCACTCTAAACATCTGGCTGACTGTGCGAGCAACCATAATAATTTATTAAATGTATATGCTGCCTGACTCCCAGTGACTTTACAATTGTTTACAATTGTTAATAATATTTAAGAGCAAAAAAAAAGAAAAGAAAAAGAAAAAAGAAAAAAAGAAAATACAAAAGAGACAAAAACAGCACAAGACAAAAGAACAGTGATGGCAAAGAAAACAAACCTGGAGGGGAACAAAAGGAAGAAAGGGGCATTAGTCATCCTTGCCAAAGGCCTGGGAGAAGAGCCAGCTCTTTAAGGCTCTTCAAAGTACCAGTAAGGTGGGAGCCGTTTCAATTTGGGGGGAACCTCATTCCAGAGGGCAGTTGCTACTACAGAGAAGGACCACTTCCGGGGTCCAGATAGATGGCATTGTTTAATCAATGGAACCTGGAGTGCGCCACCCCTGCCAGATCGAATTGGCCAGGCAGATACTATGGGAGGCAGGCGGTTCCTCAAGTAACCAGGCCCTATGCCATGCAGCAAGACTAGAAATTTGTCTTAGGATGCCAGTGCCCTACCTAGTATAGTGGGTATTGTGGAGCACAGAAGAGACATGAAATTGGTTCTGGAGACCAGGACTGGCAATAGGAAGTTCCTCCTCTGTTCTCTTTTTCAAACTGGGTCTGGATTTCTTCTCAGCCCTCAGCAACAGATGGTCCCCCCCAAAAAGTTTATCAACTGAATGAAACATGGAATAACTAATAAACCATAAATGGAATTAATTAGTTCAGGAGAGATACATAATATGCTTTCAGATCATGTTTTTTATGCTTCCTCATATCTTAAATGTTTCCCCTCCTTTGTGTGAGGGAGCTATCCTTGTTGTAGGAGTATAAACTTTTTAATGCAATGGTTTTTAAAAACTCAGTGAGAACTGGTTGAATTAAAACAGATGATATTTCATATTTTTTTCTTGAAGGTAATCAACAAATATGGTGATTTATATGGAGCAGAGCGCATTGCAGAACTCTTAGGTCTGGACAAAAGTGCTCTGGATTTTAGTCCGGTGGAACATACTGAACCAGATGAAGCATCTTTTGTTTCATGGTATTGTTGAACTTTAAACTGAAATTTAATAAAACAATAGAACTAACAGAGAACTTTGATATGCATAGTTGTGCATGGACTGTCCTGTGATGGAAATCTGAAACTGAAGTCTTAGCAACCCAATCCTATATGTATATGTGTTTGTACATAATAAGGATGGTCCAGAGAGTCTTGTGCTGACATAACAATTTATGTTATCTTGTTGAGTTGATGTCAACACAAGATCTTGGCATCCTAATAAGAACAGAGTATAAACAGCAATACTGTTATGGCCATTATAGCTTAGATCTTTGGACTAAAGTATGTATTTTTAATATGGTCTGTTTTGGGGGAGGGAACGTTTTAACACTATGCTTTTATGGATTTCATAAATTGCTATGAGACCATTGTTGGCAATCTACAAATATAATTAATCAATCAATTAATTCCTTATCCCACCAGCGAATATGCTTAACTTTAATTATTAAAAGAAAATCTGCTAGGTAATTGTGCATCTTTGTTTTGAGTTTATAATGTAACACAATAAGTGATAATCAGTTATTCTTTCCTGTAGAGAAAGCACTCACAGGTTGCCCAATATAGCTTAAACATTTTGCCTATGGATTGTCACTTGTAGCATATCACTATATATAATGACCAATTACCCCTATCCAATTCCTTTTAACCAAAGTTGCCCTGAGAAAGATTAGGGAGATAGAGTCTAGATGGGAGTATAATATTACTGGAATGCAGAGAGCTGGCCTGATGCATTGCAACATTATTACAAAACCATCGTATGTGAATGGGAACACAGATGTTTTCTCCTTATATAAACACTGGAGCTAAGTACTTATACTTAACATTTATATTATTGTAAGTAAGTTAGAGAGATCAATCATCTTAGATAATAGCATATAACCAGCAAATAAGATACCTGATTTCTTCTTTCAGCTTCATTACTTTGACATATAGCATCAGTTTGGAGGAGGCATAAGGGAACACACCATTAGGCACAAATTGGACTGCAGGCAAAGTGCTTCTCCTCAGTGTTCCTGTCAAGCCCTCTTTCAGGAAAACACATGCCATTTCTCCTCCTCCTCAGTTTTCCATTTCCCAACTTTCCATAAGCATCCGTCACAATCAGACTTCATTGGCTTGTTCTGGAAATTTCCCTTCTGAGGTTCTTTATTGAAGAATGGCTATATTCCTGCAAATTCTGATGATTCCCTTAAGTCTGCTGATACTTTCCTATTATACTGAATGACGTTTCCTTGACTACATAAAAGGCCACAACTTGGAGAACTGAAATTTCTCTTAGTATATATGTTACATTATCCAAACATATCATTAACATTCATCTAAAGGTCATTTTCATTGCTGAAATATTTACTATGTGTGTTTCTTCAAAATATACCCAGTATACCGCCACAAAATTCTGAAATATTTCAGTGGATGCACTATCAAGAATGCCTAACAAAAGGAAGAAAGCTTGTACTATAATTAGGGAATGAATAAAGATCTTGATTAATTTCAAATTATTTTGTATATTACTAGGTTAAGTTCTATCGATGCAAAATATCAAATCTGGAAGCTTGGTGTTGTTTTCACTGATAATGTAAGTTAACAGTACTTTCATTTTTTAAAAAATCTTTTGCTTCATTATTTTCAAAGGAAACAAGCCTTGTACTCATGCATTCTCTCTTACAATATGCACAACTTTAATATGAACTTAAGCCTACAAGCATAAATACCCAAATGAAAGTGGTCATCCTTACAGATGCTATGCAATTCTTTTTCGAACACCTGTTTTAAAATGGATAATAGGGAAATGAGAGGGAAGTAAAGAAAATGCTTGAAATCAATTAGTAAGAGAAGCAGTGAAATTAAACCATTAATGTAATATCAATTAAGGAAATGTTTTTTGAGAAGAGGGGAGGAGCACTATTTTCAGTATGGTAGAAAAGTCAGAAATAAAAGGTAGGATGATAGTGTGTTACTGCTACTCATAATACTATCTGAACAATAGTCAGTCATAAATAATCTAAGACAAGCAAGTTATTGATTCATTACAATAGCCAACCTATTACAGCTTTGCAAAATTGTTTAATATTTTGTATGTGTTAAATTGATTGCATTTCTTATTCTGTGATATTATGTAATGGTTTAGCTAAGAAATACTTCTGTATAATTGTTTTCTTTATGATGTGATATGTTTTCTTGCCTGTGACATCTTGTAGTCTTAATAAGCAGCCTTGTATACTTTTTAAACAATTCAGCCAATCTTTTCATCAAGAATGCCAATTATATGTATTTTCACATTCTTATTTCCCTTTACCCTGATGTATATATAAAGGCTGCAAAAACAAAATACATGAGTGGTGAAGAAATATGACAAGGATGTAGGCCAGTGTTTCTTAACCTTGGCAACTTTAAGAAGGGTGGACTCCAACTCCCAGAATTCCCCAGACAGCAGTTGAAATCCACCCATCTTAAAGTTGTCAAGATTGAGAAACACTGATATAGGCAGAGGGCATGTCCACGAGCAGCAAGACTCCTTCACATCTGGAAAGGCTTTTTGACTTATTGCTAGACCCTGTCATGAGAAAAAGGACTAGTTCATGTTTACATTTCTATTTACACAAAGTACTCTATACCTATTAGCATATCTTAAGAAGAGTGTAATGCACAGTTGTCTCTTGCACAATAGTATTGTGTCTTCAGTTTGCTGTTTACGTAACAGTTGCAAAAACATACCTTGGTATTAATCTAATCTAGAAGGATTCAATTTTTTGGTCATTGAGGTTTTAGCCCCTTTGTAGACATTTTAATATTGTAGCACAAAAGTATTTTGTAAATGAAATGTAATAATAAGAAAGAGTAATATGATGAGAAAAGTAGTAATGGCTTTCTGACATTTAATGTTTTCTTTAGTCTTTCTTGTACTTAGCTTGGTATACAACCATGTCTATTCTTGGCCACTACAACAACTTCTTCTTTGCTGCTCATTTGCTCGATATAGCTATGGGATTTAAGACTTTACGTACCATTCTGTCATCTGTAACTCACAATGGCAAACAGGTTAGTTAATTGATAATATAATACATGTGTTATTTTGCTACTATAAGTAAAATTGAAATATCATTTAATTAGCTGTGAATTAAGACCAAATTTGTTAAAGTGTGATGAAAAATTGTAATGCTATAATTTAAAAGTACATAGTGATCAAATGAGTGAGGATTATGAACAAATCACCAGCCACTAATGATTCTATGTCCCCAGATTATATCATTTAAAAAAGCAAATGGGGAGAATCCAAATTCTGAATTGTACTTTCTTTTTTAATGGATTATAAAAAGATAGCATGCCAATTTTGAAGATTAGCCCATTTATGCTGTGTTTCACTGTGCAGAATGTTACTTTTGCACAAAGAAACATTCAGACATTAGCAGTTTAAAGTAATAGTAACAGGTTTTTCATAAAGCTTCATGTGCTATGTATCTTAACGCATTGTTTCTTTCATTAAATGAATAATATTGGTAACAACACACAAATACATATTATATATAAATATAAAATACACACAAATCATGATTACATAATTAGCTGAATTAAGTTTTCTCTGCATTATATAAGACCTATTTTCAAAATTTCACATTTATATCGTTTAGAAATGTCTGTATTGTTATTTGTTCAAAAGATATGTTTTCAGAGCTTCCTTCTAGATGAAGATTCATGTTCAATCATAGAGCTTGCTAAAATCAACACAGAGCAGATGTAATCCATATGTGATATAAAATGTATATCTATAAATCCCAGCCCGGCCTGCCCATTGTAAAAACTTTCTTAGCTAGACAATGATGATTATAGAAATATATCTGAACTGTGTATTTTGGTACAAAACTTCTGAATGTTTGAAATTATTGCTCTATCACAGATCAGTCACCAGTCTGCCTGTCTAAAATGTTTAATTTGTGATTAAATTCAAAAATAATTTCCACAACTGAAACAGCATCTCTTTTCTTTCTAGGTTATTAGAAATCTTTTTATTCTCACTTCTACTCTTTTTGTTGCTTCAGTCATGTTTCTGTGATTTTTATTAAAAAAGGAAACTTTCTTATCAAATAAAATGTGGTTTCACACATTGTATTTATAATTATTTAACCCAGCAATCATAATTTGCTAAGGAATTGTATTTTTCTCTCTCCTTGAAGGAGTGGGATATTATTAATTTTATATACTTTTCCTCCCTTCCCTTCCATATGGTTTGTCAAAGCAGCAGCATTTAAATCTATTCCTAGTGCAATTTATTAGCTCTCAGTAGTTTTTAAGCCAGTAAAATAATCAGCTGATTGGTATGTGATCAGCCAAATTTTGATTGTAGCAACTCTAGAGAGCCAGAAATGGCCTCCATCTTTCATTTCTTTGTACCTTGACTAGGGCTTGGATGTCCCAAGTCTGAGTGTGCTCATTTCTTCTTTTTTGGGCAGTTAGCAAAACGAAAACATGCAAGACATTTCCAGACTGTTTTTAAAGATCAGTTTCAGAAAGGTAAAAGCTTGAAGTTACTGCATTAAAAGGTTCAGGCAGGATAAAAAGGCAAAGTGAGGGTAGCACAACACCATTAGGAAAAAGTGGACTTCATTGGAAAATAACCTACTGTATAATTTGTGGACTATCCTTTTCTTTAATTATTGTATTCAATTCTCATTCCTTTAAAAAAAAACTATATTAGTGGGTGTTCTTATTTTATACTGTATTTTATTTTGTATTTTATTGTACCTGCCCCCCCGCAAGTCCTAGTGTACTGTCTCATTGTAATGGGGGGGGGGGGGGATGTTCCTGGGAGGGATGAGTAAAAAATATTGGGAGTGTATGCCAAGAGTACATACTCCCAGCAGGGTCACCCAAGGCATCTATGTTGGACAGCAGTGATATAGGAAGATGCTGGAGGTAGATGATTATTTTAATGGCAATGGCAAAGGCATCAATTCATGGGAGAAGGTAATGGTAAACCACTCCTGTATTTTCACCAAGGAAACCACATGGATAGAAAATACAAAATGATTGACAATATAGTGCCATATGATGGGCCTCTCAAGTCAGATGGTACTCAACATTCTACTGAGGAAGAACAGAGGACCTTTCAGAGATATCCAAAATACCTTAGAAGATATTCCTTGTTTACAAGAATCTCCAGTACTAGAAGATGAAGTGTGATCAGCACGCCAGTCAGTACTAAGTTGGAAAGCTACAGGAATTGATGGAATACTCACTGAAATATGGCAAGCAACAGAAGAAAAATCAGTCAGGGTTCTAACCAAGCTATGCCAGCAAATCTGGAGAATGATACAGTGACCAACTGAATGGAAGAGGTCAATCTACATTCCAGTACCAAAAAAAGGAGATTTAACAGTGTGCAAACTATTGTAAATATCCTTAATTTCACATGCTAGCAAAATAATGCTTAGGATCAACCAACTAGATTAGAGCCCTACATGGAAAAAGAGATGCCAAATGTTCAAGCTGGCTTCAGAAAAGGCCAAGGAACACATTATTGCCGATACATGCTGGATAATTGAAAAAGCCAACAAATACAAAAAAGAAGTCAGTATCTGCTTCATCAATTATAGAAAAGCCTTTGATTGCACCAATCACCTCAACTGTGGAAAGTGCTCAGAAAAATGGGAATCCCAGAATATCTCATTGTTTTCATGAGAAATGTATATACAGGTCAGGAAGCCACAGTTTAGACAGAACATGGTGAAACAGACTGGCTCCAGGCTGGCAAAGGAGTATGACAAAGCTGCATACTCTCCCCTTATTTATTCTACCTATATGCAGAATACAGTGGAACCTCGGGTTACGAACGCTTCTGTTCACGAACTTTTCGGGTGATGACCAGCTCCAGCCGCAAAATTTTGCTTTGGTTGGCGAACTCCGCCTTGGGTTACGAACAGGATCCGCGGCCATTTTCCCTCCCGTGACCTGGTCTGCGGCCATTTTCTCGCCCCTGACACGTGGTCCGCGGCCATTTTTCCACCCCTGACACGTGGTCTGCAGCCATTTTTCCGCCCCTGACAAGTGGTCGTAGGGAGGGGGACTCTCCCTGAAAGCAATAGCCGCCTCCCTGTCCTCCATGCCAGAATGGATTAACGGTAATTACATTGAACCTTATGGGAAAAATTGCTTCGGGTCGCAACCAATTCGGGTCGCAACCAGAGTCACGGAACGAATTAAGTTCGTAAACCGAGGTTCCACTGTATATATTAAGGGAAACTGGATTGGAAGATCAGTGTGGTTTTAAAATTGGAGGAAGAAACTTCAATAACCTGTGCTATGCTAATGACACTACCCTGATAGCTAAAAATGGAAAGGATCTGCAAGCCCTAGTACTAAAAGTCAAAGAGCACAGTGAAAAAAATGAGACTAAAATTAAATATAAAGAAGACCAAACTAATGACAACAGGTAAAACAACCAGCCTTAGAATTGATAATGAAGATATCAAAGTGGTGGATGGCTTCTGCCTTTTGGGATCAACCATTAACAGTAAAGTAAAAAGCAGTCAAGAAATACGCCACAGACTAGCACTGAGTAGAGCAGCCATGAAGGCCTTGGAAAATATATTCAAATGCTGTGATGTGTCTATACCTACAAAAATCAGAATTGTGCAAAGCCATGGTATTCCCTGTGACACTGTATGGAAGCAAAACCTGGACTTTAAAGAAGCAGGATAGGAAGAGTATTGATACTTTTGAATGTTGGTGTTGGAGAAGACTCCTGAGAATATTGTGGGCATCCAAGAAAACAAACTGATCAATCAGTGAACAAATCAACCCAGAATTCTCACTCAAGGCACAAATGACCAGGCTCAAATGATCATACTTGGGATACATTATGCGAAGACTCAACTCTCTAATGCTGAGAAAGGTAGAAGGAAAGAGAAGAAGAGGATGACCAGCAGCAAGGTGGATGGACTCAGTTACAGAAACAATTAGTGCACCGTTGGGTGACATGAAAGAACAGGTTAGGGATAGATTCTCTTAGAGAAAATCTATCTATGTGGTCGTTAGGAGTTGAAAACAATTTGATGGCACATAATCAATCAATCAGATGTACCTGGGCACTGTCCCTATAAGGTATTTTAACCTGCTGGTCTTTGGCTGTAATAAAGCATACCTATCTAATAGACTTGAGAACTGTATTTAAGATCTCTACCAAACAAATTTTGGTGTCTTCTTAAGGCAAATGCAACTTGAAAGGGTGATCTGGTGAGATGACTCCCAAAATTTGAATATAAATACAATTCATACCAAAGGAAAGAAGCAATAAAAAGGGAAATGAGTTGACAGTGAGTTTAAAAGAGCCATACCTGTTCAGATGGTATCTACTATCTCCCACTAACCCAAGAAGATGTGAGGCAGATTTTTCAAAGAGGCATGGAGTAGTAGGGATAGGGAATATATATTCTCCTGACATCTGCTTGGTATTTAAGTCTGCTAAGCCTGATCTTCCAGGAAAGATTTACAAGAGCCTTGAAAATCATTTGTTAATTACCAAGAAGCTAGCATAGTTATCATGACAAAAGTCTTGATAACTAACCTTATCCTACTTTGTTGATTGGATAACTTGTTTAGTATATTGTGGGAATACTGTAGGTATAATGTGTCTTGATTTCAGCAAACCATTTGAAAAAGCACTTTATGACTTTCTGATTAGCAAGATAGTTTTGTGCAGGCTGCATGGCATGACAATTAAGTGGGTAAATAGCTGGCTTGAAACTCATACTGAAAGTTCATCAGACTAATGCTCATCGGCTGAGAGCAAGTTTTGAGTGGAGTATTATAAGATTCAGTTCTGGATCTTCCACATTTTAATGACTTGGGTGGAATCATTTGAGTGAACAGGAAGAGCTGTTAACTCTGAGGAGTTCACAAGCAGGAAGAGAGAAGAGTGAACAAAGAAGCATTGTCTTCTGAAGGATTATGTGCTGAGTTGTGGGGGCTGAAAAGATCATGTCTTGAAGAACTGCTGATGGCCAGGACTGTGTCCTGAGAGTTGATTGTGAGTGATTGGTTGACTAGTTCCTTCTGAATGTAATGTAAGGCCGCCTAGTTCCAGGAAGCAAGCCTCTGAGTAAGCCAATGTGGAAAGCTAATAGGTATTTGCCCTGGGAGTTAAACAGTTATACCATAGAAGATAGAAATAAATTTGAAAACATTCTGGTTTGGCTGGAGAAATGGTCTGCAAGTAATAGATTGAAATTTAACAGAGATAACTGAAATACTTCACTTAGGAAGCAAAAATTAAATCATGAGTTACCTATCTTGGTAGAAGTATTTTCAAAGAAGATCTTGGAATAGTAGTTGATTGCAGACTGAATATGACAGCAGTGTGATGCTGCTGCAAAAAAGGCAAGTGCAGATTATAACTGAACGTTAGGAAAAAGAAAACCCTTCTAAACAAAAAAAGCAGTTTGACAGTGGAACTACATACCAAAGTGGGCATCTCTTCCCTGGACATCTCTTCCCCATGTTCAGTGGGGCCATTTGCTTGGGCTGATTTAATTTTAATTTCTGCACTAAGCAAAGGATTGGACTCCATGGTCTAAATAGCCGTTTCAACTCTATGATTTTAGGAGGCAGAGAGAAAGTTGAACAAATCTGAGAGGGACAGAAAATTGGTGCAACAGTTGAAAGGATTGAAAATAGAAATGAAATTTAATAGAGATAAATTAAAGTTACAGATCAAATCAAATTCAAATTCAAATCAAATCAAATTCAAATTCAAATCAAAGTATAGAATGAGGGACATCTATCTTAACGATAGCATTTATTCTAAGTTAACACACACACACACACCCCCGTTAAGTATTGTGCCCATAGAGGATTCAGAGAAACTGGAACAGGGCAACAAGGATGATCAAGGATGTATATATTATGGAAAGAAGCTGAAAGAATTAGGAATGTTTTAGCTTCAGAAGAGAATACCTATTGTGCAGAAGATGGAACAAATAACTGTAAGTTACAGGAAGATAGGTTCAGATTGAAATAATTACCCGGAAAGATGACAGGCTCTCCTTTACTGTATGTTTTTCAGACATCTGCTGGGGATGCTTTAATTGGGATTCTTGCACAGAGCAAGGAGTTGGATTGAATTGCCTAAATTGCCCCCTCCAATTCTATCATTCTGTATTAGAAAGAGGAGACAGCACCACTAAAATGCTTCCATTTGGCAGCTCTGGTTAAAAGTGCAGCAGTGCTAGGATCCTTTAATGAAACTACCGCATCATTCCACTTTGTTGTTTAAAAAGGCAAAGCCTGGAAATTAGAATAATGCTGTAGTGGAGGTCAGTGCCTAATTATCTGTTTTTCCACTGTACTCCTGGAACATTCAAGATGTGGAAATTCCTATCTGCCAAGTCACTACTCAACTAGCTAACCCAGGAGAGTACATATAAATTGACCAAAACAATGACACAATCATCCTGAACCATAGGGAATTAACTGGACAGAATATCACTAGGGAACCTGTCATAAACACATGTGTATTTGGAGTATCTAATTCCATCGTATATCATTTTGCATTATTCACTGAATCAGCTTTAACTCAGTTCAGAATTTACCTTGTCTTGTTTGTTCAGATAAATCTATTTGCCTTTTCTACCTAGAAGGCATTGCCTCTTCATAATGTGACCACTGAGGCAAAGGCCAGAGTAATTACCTTAAATGTGTGTATTCCTTCTTTTCCTTCATAAAATCTCACAGATCCATTTGACAAAGCTTATAAATGTGTTCAATCGAGCATGGCTACAGCTTCTCTTATGACTATACTGCGTGGCACATGAAGGTTGAGGAGAGAGACCAATTGTTCCATGCATCACCACATGGTTAGATTATTAAATCTGATGAACCAAAGACACATGAGAGCCATTCTTTTCCACAGGAGAGCTATACAGACCCTTCTTCTTTTCATAAACTAGGTTTCTGGGTTGGCACAGTAATAGGTATTCCTGACACTATACAATAAGCACAGCTGTCTGTTCTATTTAGTATAAGCACTAAAATATCCTATGTGTGCTAAAGGATTACAAATAAATTTCAGAATTAAATACAAACTCATTCATTTAGATTATTTGTACAAAGCATTCAAAAGAGTTACTGCATAATCATGGGGCAACAGCTTGGAGCAACTTGTACAGCAGCCCTAGAACCTTTGCTAGACGCAGCTGCTTTAAAGATTCAAAGACAGATGCTTTGTTCATACTCCTGGGCATTATAAATGCTTTGCAAATGAATGCTTATTTAATGAAGAATATTTTACAATGTTCTACATGTCCTTTGTATATTGTTACTAGGATTCTGGAAGCATCTGCTCCCTCAGCCCTGGGGCACATAAATAGAGGAGTTTATGGAAAGCTTTTGGTCTTTTGAATCAATGGTTTAGCTCCAGCTGGTTAGCCCCTTTCAGGCAAGCGGTAGGATATTTATGAAAGCCTAAATATGGCTGTTGTGTGGAGAAACTCAATGGAATGGTGGTCTATTCTATATGAACATTTGAAAGACAATTATGAAGCAGTTGGAAAAACTTAAAAGTATGTAGATTGGTTTAAGCAGCCCAATGCAGTGTAAACTCAAATCTTGGTTGTCTTAATAATTTTTGAATGACATAATGTTCCAAATACTCCAGCCTCATAGTTAGAGGAAATCAATTTTTTTATACTGCATGCAAAATTTTCAGTTCTTAATTGTTGTTTCTTCTCTACAAACCCATTCATCATTTATTTTGTATTGCAAATATATAGCTCGTGTTAACTGTTGGACTCTTGGCTGTGGTGGTATATCTTTACACGGTTGTGGCATTCAATTTCTTCCGGAAATTTTATAACAAGAGTGAAGATGAGGATGAGCCAGACATGAAGTGTGATGATATGATGACTGTAAGTTCTAGAACAACGGAGTGAAGTTAAGATTAACACTATTTATTATCAAGAGAACAACAGGAAGGCCCTGTTACTTACAAGCTATCAACTGTACAAATTCAACAAACCTTGTCAGTGACAATATTACTATTAGAATGTAGTCTGGGTAGTAAAATTGTAATTATAACCCTTGGTGCTACAATATTTCAATTAATCAGAATCTAAAACATTTATTAACTGAAGACCGTTGTAAGGCTACATTATACAAATAACATTATTAATGATTTAAACATAATACTTTCTTGAAGCCCATTCCCTGAAAACCTGTCTGTTCCTGATTTTTGCTGTGCCCCTTAGCATGCACTATGACTCCTGGGGATATCCCATTGGGATAGGACCTTTCCTTAGAACAGCCCAGTGGCAACCAAGCAAGGTTCATTCCAGACTTCCTTTGCTGTTGTTGTTTTTGACCTATCTATCTAAACTACTTAGGTAAGGCTTGGTCAAAACAGTTTGAAGAGTATTTCCATCCATGGCTTCAGTGACTTTTTTCTTTCTCTGGGTGAAAGAGCCAAATAATAATATACCTTGAAGTTAGAACAACTTAAATCTCATAGACTGCTTTGAGCGGTGCATAGTTCATCAGCTGTCTTAATTTTTAGGTTTCATTTCATCTTTCTTTCAATAAACATTTTAGTTACCTTACCTAATATAGTTTTTTCAGATATTTATTTTTATTTATTTATGTATCAAATTTGTCACTGTCCATCTCATTAAAACGACTCTGGGCGGTTTACAAAGTATTTAAATTAATTAAACTACAGTGTATAATTATCCTGAATAAATAGAAAAAAAATAAAATCAAAAAATAGTTGTTAAATTGGCAGGAGCTTGGGGAGCGTCATCAAGGCACCAGCCAGCCCCAGGATTGGGTAAGATGCTTGTCACCCCACACAAGCTGGCAGAGCCAGGTCTTTAACTCTTTCTGGAAAGCCAGGAGGAGAATATTCCAAACGGGGTTGGGGGGCAACAGCAGAGAAGGGTTTCCTGCTGGATATATTT